CTTACTACTAGGAGCAAGAAGCTACTAGGGGCTCCTGGCCTTACTACAGGAGCAAGAAGCTACTAGGGGCTGCTGGCCTTACTACTAGGAGCAAGAAGCTACTAGGGAGCCTACACATCAGAAAAGAAACAATAACACTCATCTTCTGTCATGAGAATGGACAAGGATCGGCGTTTGCCTGGGCATACTTGGGGATTATTTGCGATGAGTTCACAGAAGCGTTCGCGGCGCAGCTAGCCTTCTTCCACTTTCATCTCTCTTTGGCAGCGTTCATCTCTGTTTGCACATATGTTTGGATTGCCTACAACTGCAGGGAACTGGAACAGAGTCCCCTTCGAAGAATTCCTCCAACATTTAGACCCCGATCTTACATCGTGGATCCCGATTCCCGATGTTTCTATCTATCGAATGCCTCAGTCGTTGATGACCTGAATGAGGGAATGATCCACTCCCACATCCTTGCCCCAATGATTGCTCGAACCAAACAAAACTCCGCTGATCCAATAAAGGCCAGTGACCTAAAGTCTTCAAACTGATGGTCAAACCATTCAATGCATTCAATGCCCCCACGTCGCGAGCCTTGCACGACCTTTTTCAGGTTTGGAGAAGACCAGTCTTGGCTAGCACCGGCACTGGGTGAGGCAGGGATAAACATGCTGGGTAAAGAAGAATGGCTGATGCGATCGGGGCCAGGATCCAGCAGAGCTTGTTTGTGGACACCCCAACTCACCTAAAGGGGTCATTGAAATCCTCCCTTCGTTTGGGGTTTCAAAGAAGGGTAATGCGTACTATCCGAAACGACGCACACAGGCTCTTATAAGACTCCCAATACCTTTTGAGAATCCACACATCATCGAGGAGGCCGGCTTTCAACAAACGCCCTGCAGGGAGCCTAGGAGGTGCGGCACGAGGTGACTCGAAGACTCGAAGACTCGCGACGCTCCGCGCTCCGAGCTGCCAGAGCTGGGCTCATCAGCCGAGCTGCCAGCTACGTCTGGAGAAGACGTTGGAATGCCCAGTGAACAACGGACAAATGGGGATGGTGCAGATGGTTGGGCAGATTTGGGCAGATGGTGGGATGTGCGCTGCATGGAGGGCACACTGAAAAGAGGAAGGTCAACTGTGGAGGTTTGCCTTTTCGATGCTTTTCGGATCTTTTCGGGATGTTCGGGCATGAGTTTCTTGGGTCTGTGGTTGCTACCCATGGGCTTGGTGATTGTGGTCCTTCAGTGTTGGTCAGCCGCGCCGGAGAATAGGGATGACAGTGTACGGAGAAGACTGAAACTGCAGATTTGAGCTTCATGTGTGCGTTTATTGTTGGTGTCCACATTTCTTTTGACACCGCCTCCCGCATTTGTGACCAGATAAAGCTGATCGATTTGTGTCCTAAGGTCCTATTGAAGCGTTTTTGTTGTAAACGCAAACAACACGCCTCCCAGCTGACGCGAACGCCTCCAATCCCGAGTCACCGGTCACCACACCTGAAACAATCCGGACTCCTACTTGGAATCCGGATCAGTGATCTTGATCCTTCTAAATATGAAGTGACCTCATGAATTGTTTGTAGGATTGTAGGATCTCAGGTTTGGATCACCTTTTTGGTCCTGGTTGGGTTGGTATTGTCAAAGCTTGCACAGCACTTGGCATCATTTGGCTTCCTCCCTTTGGCAGTTGTTGTTTTGCTACATCCTGAAAAAAGATCTTGGTGGGGGATCAAAACCAGACACACCAAAATTGACATGTTTGGTACGTTGTCTATTCAGTTTGTGCGGATCAACCACGGTGGAATTATTGCACATCATTGATTGATTGTCATGGAAGAGATTCAACTTTGAGGCGGTTTTCTGCAGTCTATCAGCATCTATATAGCTGTCTACCCAGCAGATCCAAGCTGACGCGTGTGTGTGTGTGTGTGTTTTTTCAGACCTGCACTGGCCCGCCTTGGCCCACCTGCGCCCAGCGCCGCAGCCGCATCAGGGACTGGGCATCACCCGGGCTGGGACGTGCCACCTTGACGAAGTCGGTCTTGAAGGACACGGGGCGTATTCCGGACGTGGGTCGGTGTGAGTCGGTTTGTTGAATACCCCGGGTCTCAGAATACATGAACACCGGGTCTAAGTAGAGGAAATGGTCCTGAGAAGGTCCATAACTATATCATATCAATGACTTATTACCATTATACAATTCTTTTTGTAATATTATATATATATATACGAAAGACAAATTGTGAAGAGACTAGGACAGTAGATAGTGTGATGACAAAGCAATGACTGGTCGGTGGCAGCGTTGTTTGAGCCCTTTCCTATCTCCTTGAGGATGACAGTAT